TATATATATATATAAAAACAGGTTTGTGTACATAAGCAAGCATGTGTGTGCATGTAGGCATATAGGGCATGAAAGAAATTACCAATAAAAAATGAATAAAGCGCCAGCGGTCATGGTGGTGCATGCCTGTAATCCCAGCACTTGGGAGGCTGAGACAGGAAGAATGCTGTCAGTTAGGGTTTGAGGTCAGCCTGGGCTACAATACTGAGTTCAAGGCCAGTCTGAACTACCCAGTGAGACCCTGTCTCCAAAAAAAAAAAAGAAGAAAGTTTCCAGGTGTGATAGCCTGTAATCCCAGTACTCTGGGAGGCTAAGGTGGGAGGATCACAAATTTGATTCCAGCCTGGGCAATTCAGTGAGACCCTGTCTCAAATTTTAAAAAATAAGGGCCAAGAATGTAGCTCAGTGCCCCTGAGTTCAATCCCCAGTACCACACATACACACATACAGTTTGGGAAGAATCCCTTTGTTCTTCTTTTCCTATAGAACTGGGGATTGAGCCCAGGGCCTTCACACTGAGCTGCATCCCAACCCTTTCTTATTTTATATTTTGAGACAGGGTCTCACTGTTACTAAGTTCCCGGGGCTGGACTAGAACTTGCAGTTCTCCTGCCTCAGTCTCCCAGGGTGCAGGCATTACCCCTATGCCCACCATGCTGACCAGTTAAACATTTCTAGAATTTACTTTGAGTCATACATCCCTGGAGGTCAAACAGTTTCCACCACGTTTCCCAAAAAATAAGACCTAGCAGAAACATAATCAGTCTTGAAAATTAGACACCAAAACTGCCAGCCCCAATCAGCCTATCCTCGCCTTACCTGCCTTACAGAGTAGCCGCCAAGCAAGAATGCAGGCAGCAGAATGGCCCGAGCCGCTGCAGCCGCACCACTGAAGCATTCTTGCTACCTTAAGCCTTGCCTAAAAGCCTTGAATTCTATCTGCTGCTTCTTAAGGCCATAACAATAAAAGCCCTCAGCTGGCATCCGGGGTGCCTGCCCCCCTAAACTTTATTGAAATTAAATTCATATCCTGTGCAATTGACAATGGACCCTGTACAATTCTGAGACTCGGTATTATCCAGAGTTCAGCAACCGCCAGCATAGCATTAGAACTCCTTATCACCCCGCGAAGAAACACACCCGTTATCATGGCTTAAATCCCCATCTCTAGGCAACCCCGAATCTACTTTCTGTCTATAGATTTGCCTGATCTGTACATATCACGCGAATGGGATCAGAAATCCCCAGGGTTGCTTGGCCGTTAATGTTATCTCTGTTCCTTGTCATATTCCCCTCCCTTCCCCAGAGACTTCTGTCTCCCGCCGGCCTTTCTCACCGTAAGTGCCGGGAATTCTGTCAACCTGAGAGCAGCGTCTGCTGCTGTTAGCAGATGCCACAGTGATCACGCACTGGGATCATTAAAGCCACGCCCTCGTCTTTGTATTGTGCTGAACCCCAGCTAACAAAATCTGGAGTAGTTCAGCAATAGACTGTTTGCCTAGCTGGGTTCAATACGCAGCACTTGAAAAAAAAAACCAGAAAAACACCACCTCTTTGGCCCAGAAGAGCTGCCAGCCCCAAAAGCACATGCTGCGGCCCTCTGAGCCCCCTACTTCCTCAAGGTGCACAGAAAGCAGTCACCGTGCAGCCAGGATTCCCAGGGGAGCACCTGCCTACGACCAGTGCAAGCCTCCAACCCACAGAGGTATCCTGGCCTTCCCTGCCCTCTCTCTTGGTGCTGGTCCAAAAAAACAAAAGGCATAACTAGATGTAACTAGATGGTGACCAGGACATGGCTTTGGTTCAAAACAAGTTTCTCTTTCCTGCCTAGAAAGATCCCCAGAGGTGGTATGTGTGCGTTCTTTCTGTCTCTGTTGCTTGCTTGCTTCCTTTTCTTTTCTTTCCTTTTCTCTTACTTTCTCTTTTTCCTTCTGCCTTTTTCTTTCTCTTGCTTTTTTTCTCCTGGGTTTTTGTTTGTTTTGCGGGGTGTGGGTTTCACCTGTTTGTTTCGGGATTTTTTTTTTTTTTTAGTGCTGGGGATCAAACTAGGGCTTTGGGCATGAACCAATACCGCTAAGCCACACCCCCGGCCTTGGGTTGTGAGGGCTTTGTTCGGCACTTAGACATTCAGCCGGCAGTCTGAGCTGGGATCTGAGTGCAAAGGTGTGGTGGATTTTACTTCGTTCTCGCTTAACTTTGAAAATTAAATAGGGCACAAGGGAGGGCTGAAGGACTTGCCGTGCAGTGGACGGTTTATTTCTACACAGCTGGACTCTGCGGTTGGTGTCCCCCTGTCCTGATAAATCAGGGGCCCAAGAGTGCTTAGCTCAGAGGAAATGCAGGGCTGGCCCTGCAGCCTGGGTCTCGTGTCGCAAGAGTGTCGGGACGGAAAGGATCCCTGCAGAGATGAGGCAGTGACCACAGGGCTGGGGTGCTGGCCCTGCTGGTCAACTACCGGGCCACTGCAGTGAAGTCATCTTCCCCAGGTCTCAGCTTGCTCATCCAAAATGGGCATGGCCGGAGGGCCTGCCTCCTAGGGTGCAATCCAAGGAGAAGCACTAGCTTTCCTCACCCAGGAAGTGCTCGGTGCTCAGTGCCCCTAGCCACCAGCAGCTCCCCCTGCTGCTCCCCCACCACACTGCTGCTCTTCAAGAAGCCCAGGGGCTCCTCGGCCCCCCGTGCAGCTCCCCTGATTCTGCGTAGGGCGGCTTGTGACCCCCGGTGTGCTGTTGAGCCTCTGATCCTGCTGCTGTGTATTGTTCTCGCCCTCTGGTGTTTGCTTTTCCGGACTCTAAAAGCAATCTGTGTGCTAATACTTGGTGTATATTACAAGCTGGATATATGTGTTGACTGAGTGAATATGTTTATTGGGGAAAATGGCAAGAATATAGATCCTGCAGGTTATGTTATAGAAGAATACACGGTAGAACCCCTGCCCGTGGGTGAGAGCTGTCAAGGTGGGAATGCCCCCAGCTTCCCACATCATGTCACCCCCAGTGACTCCCAGGACCATCTTGCTTTTGGCCTTGCCTAGATGTTCATGCCTCGCGGCCTCTCACGGGTGCTGACACTGGATTCCCCTCATACAGTTTGAAAGGTGACAAGAAGCCTTGTCCAGGCACTTCAGTTCCTTCCCTAGCAGCAGCAGACTGTTGGGCTGCTAACACCTCCGTAGGAGCTGGATCCTTCCTGTCTGACCAGAGGGGAAGACGAAGTGTGGCCTGGAAAGAGGACAGAGGGGGCCGTGGCTGGCTGGCCCTTGCATGTGCCCACACTGCCCGAGGCCCCCTGCTGGTTACCTCTGCTCGCCTCTTCCCTGGAATCGGTAAAAGCCCCGCTCTAAAGACAGAACTGAGCTTCAGTGGAGGGGAAGAGGAGCCCAGTTAGTGCTGGCGTCTGCAGGCTCCCGCGGTAATGCAGAGTTTGGAGGTGACTGGGCTAGGTTCGGAGCTGGCCCCCTTCCCTTGCTGACTGCAGGTGGCCCGCAGGAGCTAAGGCATCTTCTCAGGCCTCAGAAAAACGGAGGCGAAACTGCCTTGGCAGGGGCCATGGGAATGAAGCCCATCAGTGCACCAGGGCCTGACAGCCAGCATGGGATCTATTTTTGTGCTCTCCCTTGGAGGCAGCACTGCAGGGTCTGATTCAGTCCTGCAGGCCTGACCCAAGGGTGGTCCCCATGCTGCCCCTCTGAGCTGGCCACTCCTAAGCTCTCCTCCACCCTCAGGTGCCTTCTGCTCACTCCAGCCAACCAAAATTGTCATGTGTGAATGTGTGTGACAGCCGGGCATGGTGGCAAATGCCTGTAATCCCAGCACTCGGGAGGCTGAGGCAGGAGGATCGTTGTGAGTTTGAGACTAGCCTGGGCTACAAAGTGAGCTCAAGGCCAGCCTGAACTGCATAGTGAGACCCTGCCTCAAAAAGACAAAAAAACAAAACAAAACAAAGAATGTGTGTGACAGGCTGAGCCAGAGTCGTCGTCTTGTTTTACATCTGATATAGGAAGAAATGAAGACAAATATGTTCTGTAATTGTTTTGTGTGTAAATCCTGTCTCCTGTTAGGACTGGACATCTATCACCTTATTCCTAACACAGCGTATGAGGTACACACTAGTCACTCGCAAGCCAGATGGCCATACATACTCCTCCTTTATAAATGACAAAAGGAGCTGTATGTGATGGCTCCTGCCTGTAATTCCAGCAATCAGGAGGCTGAGGCAGGAGGACTGCCATGAGTCCAAAGCCAGCCTGAACTACATAGTAAGTTCAAGACCAGCCTGAACTACATACATAGTAAGACCCTGTCTCAAAAAATAAAATGACAAAATCATTCCAGAAAGTGGGGGAGGACACATTTAAGAAACAGCCAGGTGAGCCCAGACTCCTGAGCTCCTACATACTCTGTCAGAATAGCCCGAAGCAGCTGGCTATTGGGTAACAATACAAAGTGGTTTGAACACTGCTAATCCCTTCTGTGCTAATGAACATTGCTAAGATTTTGTTTGGGTACAGGCTCAGTACTCTGCCTTAGACTTCATAGTCTCCTTCATGTTACAGCAAACAAGCCTCAAAACAATAGTGTTGTTCTTATTCATACATAAGAATTCCACCTAGGCGTGGTGGCACACACCTGTAATCCCAGCACTCGGGGAGGCTGAGGCAGGAGGGTCGTTGTGAGTTCGAGACCAGCCTGGGCTACAAAGTGAGCTCAAGGCCAGCCTGAACTGCATAGAGAGTCTCTGTCTCAAAAAGACCAAAGGGGAGAGGCTGGGGATTTAGCCCAGTGGCACAGCGCCTGCCTGGCAAGCGCAAGGTCATGAGTTCAATTTCCGGTACCGGAAAAAAAAAAAAAGACCAAAGGGGGGAAAAAAAAATTTGTTTCTCATGGGTGTGGTGGTACACACCTGCAGTTCCAGCTACTCAGTAGGCTGAGGCAGAAGGGTCACTTGGCCCAGCAATTTGAGCCTAGCCTGGGAAACACAGGATGACCCTGACTGAAATGAAAGATGTTTCTCCAGCCTTTCCGCCTTGGTAAGCTATTCTTCGGGTATAAGCCCAGGGTAACAGGGGCCAGTCTGTCTCAGACAAGGCCTGCCCAGTTAGCCATGGCCACAGAAGACCTGGCTAGAGCCCCCAGGCCTGGGCTACTGCCTAACAAGATGTCCCCAAGATGCTAACCCCAGCCTATAAAATGATGACAAATGTCACAGCGACACTTACGCATTCAGTACGAAAACCAGGACAGGAAGGATCTTAAAACAAACCACACAGGAAGCTGGTCACAAGTCTCAAGTTTTTTTATTTTCAGAACAGAATCTCATTTTATTTTTAAAAAGAGAAGGAAAGGAAAAAAAAAAAAAAACTGTGATAAATGCTAGTGAGATGCCACGTCCCTCCTCCTTCCAGGCTCTAACTCTCAGCTAAGTCTCTTCCCCAAAAGCCACAGGCTCAGTGCCAAGGCGTGCTAACAAGAAAGAGTCCAAGCTTGGCATGGTGACGCACACCTGTAGTCCCCGCTGCTCAGGAGGCTGAGGCGGGAGCATCTCTTTAGCCCAGGAGTTTGAGGCAGCCTGGGGCAACACAGCAAGAACCTAGCTCACAAAAAAGGAAAAGGGAACAAGTTTTTAGAGAGGATCTAGTCTTTTTAAAAAACAAATAAGGTTCAGGGCTGGGAAGATAGCTCAGTGACAGAACACCCCTGCACCACTGATGCCCTAGAAAGCAAGGGAAGTAGAGCTTGAGGGGCCGCTGCTTATGAGTGGGCCAAGGACAGTAAATGACAGGACCCAAGGAAAACACACCAGAAGAAAGGAACCAGCACCCTGAGCACAGTCACTGTAGCAAACGTATAAAAAAAGATGGCCAGGGTGAGCTGGGGCCCCTCAGCTGGATCTGACAGGCCCGGCCTCTGCCACACGGGCCCCGTCGCCACCCATCTCCTGACATACCCAGGGAAGTGGCAGCTCATCGGAACCTGTCACAGCCCCACTCAAAGCCCGACAGCACTCAGAGGTCACAGCCAGCCGGTCACTCGCAAGCCAGATGGCCATCCAAACAGTAGAAAGAGGGTGGGTCGGGGGCCAGCCTGCGCCAGCCATGGCTCAGAATAATGTCCTTTCACAGTCACTGACATTAGGTAGCAGAGAAACGGCAGAGCTGGAGAGAAGGGGACGGCAGCCGTCATCCCCACCAGGGGCCTGCGCCTCGAACCTTGAATCCAACAGCAGAGAAGAGGAGCCGGTGAGGGGAAGGAGAACTGGCAGAAACCAGCCCGCCAGCACTGGCCGAGGAGTGCAGAGGGCAGTGACTGTAAACATTTCCCCACCGGTGCCCACTCTGAGGGCCAGCTGGCTCCGGGCACTCAGGCCTACGCTCGGCCCCTCGGCTGTCTCTGCCTCCATGACATCTGCTCACAAGCCCCTAGGAGGCTGGAAGAGAAGGACCCCCAGACGCCCTCAGTTCTTGGAGAACCCAGCAAAACCAAAAGACAGGTGGCCACTAGCCCAGGTGCTGAGTTACTGGCCAGTCACCTGGCCCTTTGGGCCCCTCCTTGTGCTTGGGGCTCTTGGGAAGGTTGGCGGCAGGGCAGCAGTGAGGGCCCAGCCGTCCACCCAGCCGGAGCCTTCTCCCTCCAGGTCAGAGGCTTCAGACAGCCCCAGAGCCAAACAGGGAAGGGCCCGCACGCAGATGGATTGTGGCCCGCTCCTCTCCTCTCCTCTCCACTGCTGCCACTTTTTACAGAGGGTCAGGGTTTTCAAGAACTCTAAACTCAAACAGCGCTAGATCTGGAAGGTGCCTGAGGCCCAGAAAGTAAAAATGATCTCGCACTCCAAACTAGTGAGTGACAGCCATAACTAGAACCCACGTCTCCCATGCCTCCTGGTCCCTTGTCCAGGATTTGTGGAACTCCCAAAGCGGAAAAAAGGAGAGGGAGGACCAAAAATCCTGACATTCTGTCCCCACCCTAACACTGTGGGTGGAAGAAAGTGAGTATTTCCTGGCCTTGCTCCATGTCATCCTGCGTCCTTACCTCCCTAAAAATAGTCCTTTGTCTCAGAGACTCCAAAGGGATGTCCCACACCAAGACTGTAGGTGGGAAACCCCTGGCCGTCCCTTGTCATCACCTCAATAAGAGGAGTCTGTGGGGAAGACACCCCAGCAGGGCTCTGCAGCCTGCCCCTTCCCTTGGGAGCCCTGTCAGCAGAGCAGAGGGCACTGCCACCCTTTCTCATCTACCCCACGCTTCCCAGAGGAGGGGCACATAGGGCACTGGGTGTCCTACTCCCTTGGGCCCATAGGAAGCCCGATTTCACATCCATCCAGGCACCTCTTCCCCTACAGCTATGCTGAGTCCTGCTGTGCCCCAGCCGGGACCAAGCCGCAGGAAGGAGAGCCATTCTGGGTGCAGACGGAGGAACAGGAGGCCAAGCCAATGGCTGATATTCCACAGACCCTGTAACCACACTGGCACCAAAACCCAACGGGGTCTGGTGGCCACGTTGAATGCAACTTCTGAGTATTTCATTTAATTTTTTGCAAGCAGCATCAGCGATGATGCAGCAAAAGTTGAAAGCACGGAGGTAGAATTGCTCGCTCACCCGAAAAAGGGTGCCATTTGGTCCTTCGAGTGTGGGACACCCTCCTCCCCAAGCTGAGAAGAGAGGAGAGGAAGTGAGGGAGACCCTGGGTCAGCTTCTCCCTCGGAGGAGAGTAACTGGGCAGCTCCAAGGCCTCGCTCGTCCTGGGAATTCATGCACACAAATTCAAGCCAGAAGGAGAACGGTGGTGGGATGTGTGGTGGGAAGGCAAGGCCTCCCAATCTATGGATTGTAAGGGGCCACCGGGTACACAAAGAGACAGCACCGCGCGCGCGCGCACCCACACACACGCACACAGACACGCGCTTATCGTCTACCGTCCGTCCAGTAAAGACACATCAGGGGAAGAGTGGATTCTGAGGCAACAGCCATCAACCACAACCTATAGAGCCCGGTGCAGGCGCAAAGCACAGCAGCCTCTGCCTGGACGCCCCCTGTCCTCCATTCTTCCCCACGGTGGATTGGAACTGGGGAGGTGGGGAAAGCGGGAAGCACAGTTATCCAGCTCCTTGGAGGTCAGGGACTGGAGTAGAATACGAAGACAGAGCACAAGGTCAGCGGACCGACCTCCCTTTCAATTGACTGCTGGTCCCCTCCAAGCAGTACCCCTTGCGTACAGAGAAACACACGCACCCTTAGCCCTAGTAACAGTCGCTTCTCCCAAACATACCCTGATGAAACCCCTGTAAGGGGTCAGAGGCCAAGGGAGCTGCACACGCTCATCCCAAAAGCAAGGCCCCCCGCCCTTCACCCCTCAGTTCTGGGAGGTCACGGCCAAGGTGTTGACGTAGCCATGGGGCCCTCCCTCGTTCTCAGAGATGCAGTGGCCCAGCTGCGAGCCTCCCTGAGGCGGCGGCGGAGGCGGCGGCGGCGGCGGAGGCGCAGAGGGCGGAGCACCGTAGCCACCTCTGGCCCGGCTGGGAGAGGTCCGGCTGCCCCGGTCCCAGCAGCCCTCCAGGGCCTCCAGGCCGCGGCAGCCAAGGAAGAACAGGTTCTTGAGCATGAAGATGGAGAGAGGCTGCTGGTAGCTCACCACCAGGAGGCAGCGCAGGGCCAGCAAGGGCACGTCCACCAGGCAGCCGCCCAGAAGGCGGAGCAGGCGGCTGCAGCTGCCGGGCCCCGAGGCCTGGCCCCAGGACCAAGCGGCCGCGGCCGCGGCGTTCAGCTCGTAGAGCCAGAGCACCGGCGAGGCGAGGGTGAGGAAGTAGACCGCGATGAGCAGGTAGCGCAGGTGCGCGGGCAGCGGCACGCGGCCTTCCAGCATCAGCTCCACCAGCGTGAAGCTGTCGAGCAGGTCCAGACACGTGCCCAGGAAGCAGCCCGCGGCGCGGTGCTGCTGCGGCTGCAGGAGCAGGGGTCCGGCCGAGCCCGGGGGCGCGCCCGCCTCGCTGATGGCGCGCACCAAGCTATAGAGCAGCGGCACCGACAGCGCCACGGTGAGGCGGAAGCCGGTGGTGCCGAAGGGCGCGCGCAGCTCGATGAGGTCCAGGATGGACGTGCCCAGGATGAGCACCACCTTCGGCGTGAAGGCGATGGAGTAGATGAGCCAGGCCAGGTAGGCGAAGGCGAACTCTCCAGCCGCCGCCGCCGCCGCC